TAACCAGCAATATGAGAGTTGAGGTAAAATGGGTTAGTAGGTCTGTTAATTCTATGTAAGTTGTTATTAATTTGGAAATCTGTACTTAACTAGCCTAGAGAGGTTGCAACTCGTGCCTTTCCTTGGGGACTTTGTACTATTGTCTATTGCTGATTAATAAAATTATTTCAATTATCAAAAAAAAAGGACTCAAACTCCTAAAATAACTCTAATAACACTTTCTAATCCTACTAAAACTAGCTTATCGTAAAGAAACCAAAATCACTAAAAATAGTAAATTATGATTTGACCATAAATACTAATTATAGGAGTAAATATAAATAGAAAGTCTGCAAATTACCAAAAATAGTAATTTTTTGTTTTTACTAAGAAAGGTGTTTTTTTTAGAAAATTGACATTTAACCCAGTTCCTAACAAATTAAAAGTGACAAAATTCAAGTAACCCAAAAATTATGAAATTTCCATTGAATGACAAATTGAGAAAAAACTGATTTCTTTCTCCATAGATTATTTCCTTGCTTCCATGTATGCATCAACCAATTAGGAAATTAAAACCACACACTTAATATCTAAGAACACACACCAATTTGCACTCCAAAATCTATCTGGAAAAGAAGATTTTGATAGGTAAATCTATAGGGAGCCATGCTCAGTACATTGGAATATTTTTTAAGCTTCAATCATTTTTCCAGCTTAGTTGATGAAAGCATGCTTTGCCCAGACAACATGGACAAAAGTTTCATCATACAATCTGAGCAGTCCTCTAGACATGAAGCCTGCATCCAAGCAGACGAAATCCAACAGATTCATAACTTCAAAGATACATGCCTGTCACTTTGTATCATCTTCCCCAGTTAAGGCAGTACCAAGCAATCACAAAAATCACATCATTTAGAAACATATAACAGTAACTAGACTTCTAAGCACTATAAAAATCTTGATGTCAATCTAATAATTTATACAGTCTCTACTTAATAATGTAACATGTTTCCTATGAGAACAATGAAAATGCAAGACCTTTTAAGGCATAAAGCATCTACGTATGCAGTTCTAGGATAAATTTTAGTTTACAAAACAAAAGCCTTACTTTTGCTTGGTCTCTATGCTTCCAAGATCACCATCCAGGACAGCAATTTCTGCATTGTCAATTCTAATTAATCCTGTAACAAATATTGGTGCTTGAGACTGGCCTCCAGTGGCATAAATTTTATCATGCTCAGGATCATGAAGCACAACCTGCAACATTTACGATGTATATATAGTTCCAAGGATCAAGGCCAAGCAAAGATCAGCTCCCAAATGACAATGAAAAGTTACCTCAAAAATGCATATGTATTTTCCCACATCAACAGTCTTTGGCAAGACAAAGGAATAGACTGAGCTTTCAGGGTCAAACTTGAGTTCCTGCATTGAACAGAAGCCATAAACACCATCACAGATGAAAGTTAATGGGGTATCATATAATTCAAGAATCAACAATAATGCATATGTAGCTAGGACAAGCATTGCAAACTGCATGCACTAACAGAAAACACAGAAAAGATAGGTAATGTTGCACCTGGTTCTCAACAAGAGAGGTATCTCTTGAACCCAATTGCACAAGTTTTACTGTTAGAGGAGGCGATGTGGACCCCAGCACAGTATTGACCTTAACCTGACAAGTACAAAATAGATAAACCAAAAACATGTTAAGATGAAACTGAAGTAGAAGAATTTATCTCAATCAAGTCAAAGCAAACACTGATACTTAATTCTTTTGTTTCTCTTTACATGTGAAAAGAAAAGAGAGAGAGAGAGAGAGAGAATCAAGATAACAATTTTTTTGATAAATTCAAGATAACAAGAAAAAGGTCTCAAAAATCTACATAACTAGAATACCATGCTTAGAAATCAACATATAAAATGTGAAACATTGTAATCAAATGGTTCAGTTCTTCATTCTGGTCAGTTCATCTTTTGGGGATAAATAACAGAAACTTTTATTAATAAAGAGATTAAAAAAGAGGATACATCAGTGAAAACCCTTTTCTTTCTTTTTCTTTTTGGATATAGGTGAAAGGAGTTTAAAGATGAAGAAATGACTGTTTTTAAAATGAAAAAAAAAGAAGATATCATTGATATAAGACTGAAGAAAGACAGGAAAGGTATCCTCTAAAACAAAGCTTTCAGCCCAAAGATACAAAATGATATAAAATGATTCAACATTATCACCGAGCCTTGTCCCAATGAGTTCTTACTGCCTTTCTGGCACAACTAATCTAATTGTCTGTCACCATCCAATTCAATCTAGTGAAATTACACTGAAATAGTTAAGAATTCTTGCTCACTACCTCAATCTAAGGGTGTCAATGGACCGGGTTTGGGTTGGACCCCATCCAAATCAAAACCAATTTGAACAGGTTGGACGGTCCAATAAGACATTGAATTGGACCATCCAGACTTAATGGTCTAAAGTATTTATTAGATTGGATTGGACCCGGCCCATCTGTAATGGATTTATATTGGACTGAGTTGGGTTGAACCAATATTGGATCCATTGACAGAAGATAAGAGTAGAGGTGTCAATGGACCAGGTTTGGGTTGGACGCAATCTGAATTAAAACCAATTTGAACAGGTTGGACAGTCCAATAAGACGTTGAATTGTACCAGTCCAGTCCAAAATATTTATCGGACTGGAGTGGACCTGGTCCATCCGTAATGTTGGACAAATATCCAGTCCATAGAAGCCCTGCCTCAATCCATGTCTTTGTTGGTTTTCCCTTTATTAAAATTTAAAAGCTTTCAACATGCAGAGTCTGGCCACTCAGCCATTTTGACATTGTGACTTAGTTCTTGCTTAAATCAAAGAGAAAATAAGGAGAAACCAAGCAGAACTCCGATCAGACTAGTATATGACTAATGACTGATGATTCCCTGCCACTAATATAAGACTAGTATATGACTAATATAAGACTCTAATAGGTATCTTCATCTCAACCATGGTCACTCTGTATGTTATTTTTTTTTTTGGGTTCCTAAACATTCTGTTCCATAAAACATAGCTAGAATAATTGCAGTCTTGTAAATCTTTTCAACATTAAATCAAAATATCAAGGTAACCAAACAAATATAATGAAATTTTCTTCATAAAGTCTCAATAACAATATTGTACAAGAAGTTGTAATGGAAATGAAAACCTCATAAACAAACACTTAAGGGCAAAAGTGCACACCTTCATCTGGTCCTTCTGAGTCAATGAAAGAACAGTAGCTGGAAGTGATAAAATCAGTGGAATAGCAGCACTGTACCATAAAGGAAATTTCTCGATCAATTTTTAGTCAAGTAGAGAATATAGAAATTAATAACCATTTGTTTGATAGTGTTTCAATGGCTTAAGTTTTTATTTAGATTATATTCAAGAAGTTCATAGTTAAAAAACTAAGAATTACTCTGAACATTAAGCGGTTGGTGTAAGAGACTACAGAGGTATATAGAAAGTCAAAGTTAACTCATTGAAGCATATAATATGCAAGCATAAAGTGACCTTTGGAAGATAGTTTTAAATGACCCATTCCAATAATCAAACAAAGCACAGTTTCAATAATGGAGATAATTGTAATAATGCCATGATAAGTTGAAATGTGAAAAACCAAGGATCTTTTTCAGCTAAAGCAATAGAGTTGCCAAGCTATCCCGGTGTGTGATGAAGATCCTATGGAAAACAACAATCTAGGAAGGTGGTTTCAGCTGCAAGAGGAAGGAGGGCAACAAGACAAGATGGTCAAATGGAATGTCAGAAAAGGGGAGGAAAATAAGACAGAGCAAGGCCAGGCAGATAGGGGGGGGGGGGGGGGGGCAAAAAGGAGTAACCCCTCTCTGTTGTACCAAGATGTGCAATGTACTATAAGGGGAATGAATCGGGACAACTTGAGACAGAGCAGGAAGTTGCTGGACAGGGAGCAGCAGCAGGGTATAGAGAGTGATCACAGTGCTGGCCGTGTGACAGGATTGGCTTCTCACCACCCCAAGGAAATGGATAAGGATCAGTTCTCTGAACAGGGAAAGGAAATTGCTAACATCAGTCCTCACTCCTCTCCAGTCTCCACCTTCTCGCCCAAACCCAGGTAACCAAGTGGTCATTTTTTGTTACTGATGAATGCTCAATGTCTTTTGTTCCAAATTCCTGTCTCGGCCCCAATCTGACAGCCAGTGTTTGCAAAGCCACTCTAGCAGGAAGTACACCCATGGAGAAGGGGATGAAGGATAGGAAAGGTTAATGGGGGGAAGTGAATAGGAATAAGCTGGTTTGGGAAATTATTGAAAGGATAATGGGAGAAGTGGAAAAAAATGAATTGCAGAGGAGTGTGATTCCTGGGTTAGAAAAGGAAAAAGATAATGTGTTGGGAGTGAGGAATGAAGGGGAGAGTAGGAGGGAGGTAAACTAAAGGACCCGAATGACCAACAGAGAGGATTCTGTTGCAGAATTTGTGGGTAAATTGGGATGTAAACTTAAGGACCCGAATGACCTAAAAGCATTCTTGCAAAAGAAAAAGGAGGGGAGTAAGACCAAGAAAAGAAAGCTAAGTGAGGTTGAGAGACTGAAAAGGGATGTAGGAGATAGGCAATTTAGTGTCAAGGGTGAGAGAAGGAAAGGGTTAAAATAGGGGGGAGAGGGTGAAGGAAGGGAGCAAAAAAAAAGAGGTTTCATGAGGATTCTTAGCTGGAATGTAAGGGGATTGGGGAGTGCAAGAGAGCTACAATTAAAGAAGTGATTAGGAAATTCAATCCGGATGTAGTGCTTATTCAGGAATCCAAGAAAATGGATTTTGATAGCAGATGGGCAAGAAGTGTATGGAGGACAAAGGGGGATTAGCTGGGTGGCTGCTCCATCCAGGGGATCCTCTGGAGGGATTATGACACTGTGGAAGGAGGATGTGTTGATGGAGATGGAGGAATTAATAGGGAAAGGATGGAGTTATGGGAGGAATTGAGTGATGTTAGGGGCTTGTGGGATGGACCATGGTGTGTGGGAAGGGACTTCGATGTGGTTAGATTTATAGAGGAGACTAACAATCCCAATCAAAGTGTTACTACAAGTCTGAGGAATTTCAACCTATTTGTGGATGCCTTTGAACTCAAGGAGATTCCTTATTCCATAAGACTTTCACTTGGTCTAATCTTCAGTCGAACCCACTTTGTTCCAAATTCGATAGGTTTCTTTTCTCCAAAGACTGGGAAATACATTGGGGCAATTTATCCTCTAGAGCACTCCCAAGGCTTACTTCCGATCATTGGCCCATTGTGATCTACAAGGAGGAAAGGGGAAGAGATGGGCCTACCCCATTCAGATTTGAAAATATGTGGCTATATCACCCGAGATTCACAAAGAGGGCTAGAGAATTGTGGGAACAGTGTCACCCTTCAGTGGAATGGGAAGGTATAGGTTTCACAAAAAGCTCCAATTCTTGAAAGCAAAGATCAAAGAATGGAATCTATTGGGGTTTGGTAGAATTGAGGAAAGAAAGAGTACATTGATGGATCAAATAGAGGCCCTAGATTTGAAAGAAGAAATAGGAGATTTTGGAGAAGAAGACAAGGTACAATGAGGGAGATTGAGGAGGCAGCTAGAGGATTGTGTGCTCAAGGAGGAGATTAGTTGGAGACAAAAATCTCGTTGTAAATGGTTGAAGGAGGGAGACAGAAATACAAGTTATTTTCATGCGGTAGCAAATGGGAGGAGGAGGAAGAATTCTATTTCTAGGTTGGAAGCTGAGGGCTCAGTCCTCACCCACCCGGAGGAGATAGCAGGGGCATTTATAGATCACTTTAAGTCCATCTTTAGGAGACCTTTAGGTGAGAGGGTTTGGCTGGAAGGTTTGGATTGGCCAAGTATTGGGGTTGAGAACAGAGAAGTTGGAAAGGAGGTTTGAAGTGGAGGAGATAAAGGAAGTTGTTTTCTTCATGGAGGGAACAAAAGCTTCGGGCCCAGATAGATTCACAATGGCCTTCTATCAGGATTGCTAGAAAATATTGGGAAAGGATTTAATGCTAGTGTTTGATGAGTTTTATAGGAGGGGAGTGATTAATCTTGGGTTGAACTCCACTTTCATTGCTCTGGAGTCTGGTTCCAAAGAAGAATGATGCCTTACACCCAAAAGATTTCAGACCTATCAGCTTGGTTAATAGTTTGCATAAGATAATTGCAAAGGTGTTGTCTCTAAGACTAAAGATAGTATTGCCTACCACTATTGCACCAAACCAAGGATCCTTTGTGAAGGGGAGGCAAATAACCGATCAGATTCTCATTGCAAATGAAAGTGTGGAGAATTTTAAGAAAGGTAGGAAGAAGGGAGCGGTTTGTAAGTTGGACTTAGAAAAGGCCTATGACTTGGTTGATTGGGCTTTTCTTAAGGAAGTGATGGTAAATTTCGGGTTCTGGGAAAGATGGTGCAAGTGGGTCATGGGATGTGTCAGGAACTGCCACTACTCTGTGTTAGTAAATGGGATAGTGGTGGACTTCTTTCCAGCTTTAAGGGGAATAAGACAAGGAGATCCTCTCTCCCCCTTCTTGTTTACCCTGGTGGCAGATGTTTTAGGAAGATTGATACAAAAAGCTGACTCGAGAGACTTGATAAGAGGGTGGAGACTAGGAAGGGAAGGGGTTCCACTTACTCATCTACAATTTGTAGATGACACAATCCTATTTTGTGAGGGAGGGGAATCAAGATGGATTAGAAATTTGAAACTGGTGATAGAACTCTTTGAACGGATGTCCAACCTTAAGGTGAATTTTGAGAAGAGTTGCATGGTGGGTGTGAACTTGGAGGAGAGGGAGGCTAGGGAGTGTGCAGAATTGCTAGGCTGCTCTGTCTCAAGGTGGCCCCTAAATTACCCAAGCTTACCCCTAAGAGATAATCCTAAGAAAGGCAACTTTTGGAATCTGGTAGTGGAAAGATTTGAGAAAAGACTTGCCTCTTGGAAGAAGAATCATTTGTCTCTTGGGGGTAGGATCACCCTTATTAGGGCTACCCTAGCCAATTTGCCCGTTTATTTCTTGTCTGTGTTCAAGGCTTCAACAAAGGTGTCCAATAGGCCAAAAAAGTTGATGAGAGACTTTCTTTGGGAACTAGGAGAGGAGAGAAGGGATCATATAGTGAGTTGGGAGGTGGTGACTAGAAGCAATAAGTTAGGAGGTCTTGGGATAGGGGATATTAGGTTAAGGAATACGACTTTGCTGGGGAAGTGGTTATGGAGGTTCCCTTTAGAGAAGGAGAAGCTATGGGCTAGGATAGTGGCTAGCATTCATGGGCTTGAGGACAATGGCTGGGATCCTGGAATTCTGGCAAGAACTACGAGTGCTTCACCATGGAAAGCCATTCGTGACTTGCTTCCAGTTTTCTCCCCTCTAATCAAGTATGATCTAAATTCAGGCAACCTTATAAAGTTTTGGGAACAAACTTGGGTGGGGAATATCCCTCTCAAGGACCAATTCCCCTCTTTGTATGTTCTCTCTGATCTAAAAAATATGCCTATTTCCTCCTTCATTGTCCCTTCTACCTCCAGTTCTGGGTTTGGGTGGAATTTAGGTTTGAGAAGGGCTCCAAGGGATACAAATATGGACAGCACCATAACCTTATTGGGTATCCTTGAAAATGTTTTCTTACCCTTCTAAGAAGGATGCCAGAATTTGGATTCCTTCCTCTTCGGGCTGCTTTTCTTATGCCTCCTTTTTCCAAAGCTTAACTCAGCCTTCCGGTTCCATTGGCTCTTCCTTCCCTATAAAAGAGGTTTGGTGTAAGCCTATTCCCCCAAAGGTTGGGAGTTTTTGTTGGGAAGCCTTCCTGGAAAGATTCAACACCGGTGATGTGCTTCAAAGAAAAAGACCCAAGATCTGCTTATCCCCGCACTGGTGCATTCTCTACAAAGCTGATGGAGAGACTGGTTATCACCTTTTAGTTGCTTGCCTTTTTGCCAAAAACAATATGGGAATAGATTTTCTCTCTTTTGGGGAGGAGATGGAACCCCCCCTGTCTGTGCAAACTCTATTTTCTTCATCCTTTTTTAGGTGGCATTTGAGAAGAGGAAGGGCCATGTGGAGGTGCATAAGGGCTGTTGTTTGCTGGACATTGTGGGAAGAAAGGAATTCAAGGATTTTCTCAAATAAGGAGAGGAGTATTGAAACTGTAATAGAGGTATTCACTTAAGGGCAGCACAGTAGTTAAAGACTTCAGATCTTTTTACTGACTTTACTCTGGATGACTTGATGAGAAAATGGAAGGAGATTGCTAATGCTGCTCAGATT